TCCCTAGTTCAAGCAATTCTCCTGTCTCAGCTTCCCAAGTAACTGGGATTACAGGCACACAACACCACACCTGTCTAATTTTTTCATATTTTTAGCAGAGACGGGGTTTCACCATGTTGGCCAGACAGGTCTCAAACTCCTGACCTCAAGCAATCCGCCCGCCTCAGCCTCCCAAAGTGCTGGGATTATAGGTACGTGTCGCTACACCCAGCCCAGAGATTTTAGTTAAGTGAAAGAAAAAATAGACCTAAAAATCAGAATGAATTTATAATCATGTAAAATATGTCAGTTACTTCAAAATATCAATGAGAAATGGTTTTAAAGTTGTAGCACCACCATAATAATTGCTGGAAAGCTAATAATTAGTTGTAAAAGTATCAGGTGACCAAAGCCTAATTGCAAAGCAACCCCTGCAACCCCTCACATAAAGCGGGAATATTAGAACCCTTCTATTCCTAGCATGCTCTGTCTTATACTTAAATGATGTAGCTGAAGAGCTCAAGATTTCCATTTCATGTTTTCAACAGTCACAAAAAGCCTAGATCTCTACTTCTATTTCTTTAATAATAACGGTTTTGCCTTACAGGCTTCCTCACCTGGTTGAGTTTGATGTACTCCTGTTCATAAATTTCAGCAAGGCTCAATTTACTCTTCTCATGGTCTAAGGTTAAACGCTTTTTATATTCATATGCATCCTCTTTAGGTTTTTCTTTACGTACTACATCATCCCAAGCCTGAAACATAAAGGGCAGGTAGAACATAACAAAACCTACAATTTATTTCTAGGTTCACTTAAGAATCTTCCTCTGGAATATTGTTATAATAAATATTATCAATATATTAATAAATTATCATTAATATATTAATAAATTATTGCAAATATATCAGTTATATTTATTATTACTCATTATTCCAGAGTAAGCAAATTATAGCAAAAACAAAATTTTCAACTTCTGAAATAACTATTCAAGTCACAAAGAATAAACATTTGGAAAGCAAAGGCGGCAGTACTCAAATATCTTTTTCTGTTTTTTGTTTTAAATGAGTCTTCCTTCCTCGTTACCAACTTTAATTCCACATTTACCCAACACAGTTTGTTTAAAAGTCAAGCCTTGAGTTAGTTTATCACATTTCATTTCAAATTTTAAGATGTTCTGCACATGATACTCACCCTTCAAACTCTACTTTAGACCTACAAGTGTAGGCAAACATTATACACGTTATAAAGCCATTTCTTACTATACATGCCATATATCTAAGATTTATTCTAAGTTTACAAAATCAGATCAATTCTTTAACAAAAACCACTAGGTTTTTAACATTTGAAAAAAATACACCATTGAGAAATGGTTTTAAATTGTAGTATTACCACAAATGTTAGGCTTTGAACGTCCCCTCCAAAATTCATTTTGAAACTTAATCCCTGATGTGGCAAAACTGAGATGTGGGGCCTTCTAGGACATGACTGGATCACCAGGGTTCTGCCCTCATGAATGGCAGTTGCATTTATGGATTAATGGGTTATCATTGGTGGGGGAATGGTGGCTCTTAAGAAGAGCAAGAGACACCTGAGCCAGCATCTTAGCATGCTCAGCCCTTTCACCATGTGATGCCCTGCACCACCTTGGGACTCTGCAGAATCCCCTCTGATAAGAAGGCTCCTCCACCTTGGACTCCTCGGCCTCCACAACTGTATTCTTTTTCTTTATAAGTCACCCAGTTTCAGATATTCTGTTATAAGCAACAGGAAAAAGACTAAGACATATATACTGAGTAATTTGCCACACCAGATACTGTGCCTAAGCCAAGGGTTCTGGGTGCAACCACCACAGGTCAGCCACCAGCTTCATTAAGCACCGCCCAAAAGGTCAGCAAGACTAATGGCTTCTGGCTCCTCTCAGGCACAATACTCGTCTTTCCTAGGTACTACTAAAGAGGAGCACCTCACACAACAAAAGCTGACTAGGTAGCCTAGATTTAAGGTTTGTGAACACTAAGTGAAAATAAAAAGCAATAGTCCCACTCTCAAAGTACTCCCACATTATTCCTAAAAATTTCAGTGACATTTCAATTAAGTTAAATTTAATTCTTACTGACTTGATCTCTTATCCTCTGTTTAATGATATCTTCCAGTTGAAGGGTGGTTTCCTCTGTAATCACAGGTGCTAAAGGAAATACAACATTTATTCATTAGGTAGATATCCACTAGACCACTGATTCTCACATTGCAGTCCTTGGACCCACAGCGTCAGCAACACGTGGGAACTTGTGATACTCCCCGAAGTTTGAAAACCACAAAACTAGGATACATATGGTAGTAAGTGCTAATACTTTATCCAAGGTACCCAAGGACTCTTCCCCTCTTTTCCATTCTCTCTTCCATTGAAATAAAATGAAAACTCATTTTAACTTAATGGGTACAAGAAAGAACGCAATGAGATGACCACGGTTTCAGGTTGGAGTTCAAAATTTAATCAGTGGACCATGACAGGATGCAAGCCTTTGAAACAGATTACTGCAAAAAACTTGATTATAAACTATATATTAGGTATCATCAGTGTACTGATGTTAAATTTTTGGGGTGGATTAATGGTATTGTGATTATATAGGAGAATGTCCTAGTTCTTAGAAGATACCTGCAAAAGCACTTCAAAGTGAAGTGCCATGAGACTGGCAACTTACTTAAAAAAGGGGCACATATACATTCTTACATATGCTGAGGAGAAAAAGTAGATACGACAAAATGGTAACTGGTGAATCCAGTTGAATAGCATATAGATGTTCACTGTAATATTTTTTCAACTTTTCTGTGTTTATAAGTTGTTTTTGTCTTTTTTGACGGAGTGTTGCTCTATCGTCCAGGCTGGAGTACATCGGCATGACCTTGACTCACTGCAACCTCCCCTTTCCGGGTTCAAGGGATTCTCCTGCCTCAGCCTCCCGAGCAGATGGGATTACAGGCACCTGCCACCATACCCAGCTGATTTTTGTATTTGTAGTAGAGATGGGGTTTCACCATGTTGGCCACGCTGGTCTCAAACTCCTGACCTCAGGTGATCTGTCTGCCTCAGTTTCCCAAAGTGCTGGGATTACAGGCGAGAGCCGCCGTGCCAAGCCATGTGTTTACAAAGTTTTAAAATAAAAAGTTGAGGGAAAAGAAACATCACCCCAAATCTTTGTACGAAATGGAACCATGGAAAAAGCACAGACATGACCACTTTACAGAAGAGGGCACCATACCCATCCGGACAGCATGGTCAAAGTGCAGGGTCTCCTCCAAGAGGCTGTTCTCTGGCCTCTTCTGTGCTGTCACTTCCCCTTGAAGCTGCCACGGCTTTTTTTCTAACAACTCTTTTTCTAAAGATGCAATTTTTTCATTCATCTAAGAAAGACACAAAATAATTAGTATACATTTAGAAAATAAAATTACACTTATATTTGTGTAAAAGTAAAAAATACTTTAAAAAGTGGGAAAGCAAGAAATGTACTGTTCTACAATTCTGTTCTTGCCATCTTTTTATTTTGTCAATGACTTCCTATTTCTGCTGCCTATGGTGGGGTGAGCTGCAAACAATTTCTTTTCCTCACTGATTTAAAATGCCATGTTTATAATATACTAAACTCCCCAGAAGCATTTGGGTCTGTTTCTGGGCTCTATTTTATTCAAGTGATCTATCTATTCGCAAGTGAAGTAATTCTTTGATTAGAATATTAGTATCTGATGGAGTCTGACTCTTTTGACTCCAAACTCAAATTCTTATTCTAACTCCTTTTTTTATATTTTTTTGAGGTAGAGTCTCACTCTGTCACCTAGGCTGGAGTGCAGTGGTGTTATCTCAGCTCACTGCAACCTCCGTCTCCTGAGCAATTCTCCTGCCTCAGCCTCCCGAGTAGCTGGGATTACAGGCGTGTGCCACCATGCCCAGCTAATTTTTGTATTTTTTAGTAGAGACGGAGTTTCACCAAGTGCTGGGATTATAGGCGTGAGCCACCACGCTGGGTCATTATCTCTAACTTCTAAAAGACAACAATGATGACTTCAGTGTATAAAATGCCAGCCTTTTCAGCTATCTTACAGAATTCTCTTATTTTCCTAATATCAATTCAGTTTATCCATTCGGTTTCCTCTCCAAATACTAACGCATTCATTTTTCACTTCTAGTGGAATATAATTACATCTGCAGGATTCCTAATCTTTTTTTTTTTTTTTTTTTGAGACAGTTTCACTTGGTTACCTAGGCTGGAGAGCAGTTGCGTGATCTCAGCTCACTGCAACCTCCACCTCCCAGGCTCAAGCAATCCTCTCTCCTCAGACTCCCAAATAACTGGGACCACAGGCATGTGCAACCATGCCTGACTAATTTTCGTATTTTTGGTAGAGACGAGGTCTTACCATGTTGCCCAGGCTGGTCTCGAACTCCTGAGCTCAAGCAATCCTCCTACCTTGGTCTCCCAAAGTGCTGGGATTATAGGCATGAGCCACCACCCCTGGCAGTTTTCCTAATCTCTTATCCTTATCTTTTGTAGTTACGCTGGCTTATGAGTCTAAAAGAATGTTAATCAACAGTGGTAACTGTAATAGTGGACATCTTGTCTCATTCCTAATCTTAAAGGGATGCTTCTAGAATTTCACCCATCATGCATGATGGCAGCTTTTGGCTTAGATATATTTGTATTCCACTAGGAGTGAAAAAAAAATTAGAAATGAATATTGAATTTTATCAAATGTTTTTCTGACATATGGAGGTGACCATATGTTTTTTTCTCCTTAATGTCTTGCAGTCAGGAATCATACTAGATTTTCTAATACTGATTCAAGAGAATAAGGTTCATGCAGTTGTGTGGCATAATTCTTCCACCGTGCTGCAGGATTTTTGCAACCCCGTTCGTGAATTTATTTGTGTGTGTGTGTGTGTGTGTGTGTGTGTGCGCGCGTGTGTGTGTTTTAATGCTACCTTTGTCAGGTTTGGGTTTTCATGTTCTAACAGTTCAAAAAAAAAAAGTTTGAAAGTTCTACTTTATTCTTTATATGTGGAAACTGAAATAAATTATTTGTGATTTATTGAAACTTAACTTGAAGGTCTGATGTAATTTCACAATAAAACCAAACCTTTCTTTCTTTATGTGTTGGGGGAGGGCGGGAGGAGTGGGGTGGAAGGACACTAACTCATTGATATTTTATAATGGTGCTTTTTTTACCTTAGAATTTCTCTATCTCCTGGGGACAATCTGACAACCACGGATTTAATTCAGATTCTCAAATTTTAAAAACAATTCTTTTGATATTCTTGGTATCTTTTATTATCTGCCTATTCTCATTTTTTTTTTTTTTTTTTTACACAGTCTCTAGCTCTGTTGCCCAGGCTGGAGTGCTGTGGTGCAATCATATCTCGACTGCAGCCTTGAACTGCTGGACTCCAGAGATCCTCCCCCATCCGCCTCTCGAGTAGCAAATACTATAGGCGCACACTACCATGCCCAGCTGATTTTTTTAACTTTTAGTGGAGATGGGCTTTTGCCTCGTTGCCCAGGTTGGCCTCGAATTCCTGGGCTCTAAACAATCCTCCCTCCTCAGCCTCCCAAAGTGCAGGTGTGAGCCACTGTGCCTGGCCCTATTCTCATTTTTATTGTGATAAAAATTTTAAGATAGATAAATGATAGAGCCAAATTATTAGACCCAGACTACAACTACAAAAATTAAATGAAATTTCACTTGTCTGAAATCATGACACAAAGAAACAATTTTTACCAACTTTGAAGATATGTTTGCAATGGTATAAATTAAAATTCTGGCTATTCGGCACTCACAAAAATCTGCGGAGTACCTTAAAGACACAGGTGGTGTCGGCCGGGCGCAGTGGCTCACACCTGTAATCCCAGCACTTTGGGAGGCCGAGGCGGGTGGATCACCCGAGGTCAGGAATTTCAGTCCAGCCTGGCCAACATGGTGAAACCCTGTCTCTACTAAAAATACAAAAAAATTAGCTGGGCGTGGTGTAACCCCAACTACTCAGGAAGCTGAGGCAGGAAAATTGTTTGAACCTGAAAGGTAGAGGTTGCAGTGAGCTAAGATCACACCACTGCACTCCAGCCTGGGTGACAAGAGTGAAACTCCATCTCAAAAAAAAAGAAAAAAGAAAAAAAAAAAAAAAAAAGGACATACACGGTATCCTCCAAAGCAGTCAAAACAGTTAAGAGGCTCACAGGACAGCTTTATCAGGAGAGACATGCTATATATATAAAGACATTAGGGACAAAGGAAAAAACAACAATCTTTAAAAATTTTTTTTATTTTTGAGTCAGAGTCGCACTCTGCCACCCAGG